TAGAGGTGTAAGAGGATATAATGTGTCCTGGGAAATGTGTGTCACTTAGTAGACTCAGGTACATTTAGTGAAATGCTAAGAAATGAAACCGTTGAAGGGGACAGGCAATTGACCATTCATTCATGCATGTATACATTCAGTCATTCAATACAGATCATTGAATACCTGTTAGAAACAAGGCTCTGTGCTAGATAGCAGAACATAATAAAGAACAAAATAGATAGAATGCCTCTCCTCATGTAGTGTTCAATTTGTTGAAAAAAAGACATGCATTAATCAAATAATCAAGATTATATGTGTAAAAATAATCACTACCTTTAATAATTGTTATGAAAATCTATAGAGCATCAAGAAAATAAATAACGAAAGTATCTGATCAGGCCTGGGTATATAGAAAAAGATTCTTTAAGGGAGATATTTGAAAGACAAAGTTAATTTTAACTAAAAGCTAATAAAATTGATACTGTGTATTGAGCTCTTGCTACATGTCAATTATAGCACCATGTCCTTTACAAACATCAAATTTAGTCCCAATGAGGTAGGTTTTCTTATTGTTTCCATATTATAATAGAAAAATGACACACAGAAAGTTTATCTAAATTGTTCAGCTGTTAAGTGGAGAATTTTCTAACTTACATAGTTTGACTCCTGACCCCTACTTCTAAAAACATAGTGCTGGATTTTCCTTGGAAGCATCTTTTAAAAATTCTTCAATCCCACAATGAATCTTTGAAATCTTTCTCTTCAAAGCAGATTACTGCACACATTTGAGTCCATAATTAGCACTCTGAGTAGGTGGGAACTTAATGAAGTGAGATTTTTACATAGCAGATCTGAGCCCACTGAGAATTAATAAATATATACTAGTTGGTTGTGACAGGCTAGCTCTTTAACTTTCTTTCTCCTTACAGATAAGTGATGAAAGCTTCATACCATAATTCAGGCATGTCTGCTCTCAACTATTCTACTGTCAATTATGATATGTTTGTCCTTATCGACATCCCTGGCCTGAAGGAGCTGCGCATGTGGATCTCCATTCCCTTCTGCCTGATGTACCTGCTAGCTGTTTCAGGAAATGGTATCCTGATCTGTGTAGTGGTAGTGGAGCACAGTCTGCATATACCCATGAACTTCTTCCTCTCCTTGCTAGCTTTTTGGGATCTAATTCTATTATATCCACAGTACCCAAAGCCTTGAGCACCTTCTGGTTGGATGACGTGGACATCTCCTTTGGTGGTTGTGTAACCCTGCTCTTCTTTATGCATTTTGCCTTTGTAGTAGAGTCAGGCATTCTCTTGGCAATGGCTTTTGACCATTATGTAGACATCTGCTTCTCACTGAGGTATACCACCATTCTTAGCCATGGCGTCACTGGCAAAATAAACGGTGTTGTAGTGCTCAGGAGTTTTGCAACTGTTTTCCCCATTGTCTTCCCTGTAAAACGACTGCCCTTCTGTCAGACAAACATCAATGCCCACACATTCTGTGAACACATGGGGTTGGCAAAACTGGCTTGTGCTGATATCACCATCAGTATTTGGTATGGAATCTCTGTGCCATTACTCAGTATTATGCTAGATATGGTGACAATAGCCATCTCCTACGGGCTCATTCTAAGGGCAGTCTCAGGCTTCCGTTCCAGGATGTTCAAATAAAAGTACACAGCACCTGTGGTTTTCATGTCTGTGTCAACCTCATGTTCTACCTTCCAGGGGTTTTCACCATTATTGCTCAGCGCTTCGGCCAAAAAATCCCCAACCATGTCCACATCCTGCTGGCCAACCTCTATGTTCTTGTCCCCCGCAACGATGAACCAAAATATCTATGGAGTAAAGACCAAACACATTTGTGAACGAGTGGCCCTTGTGTTTTCTTCAAAAGGGAAGTGTTGCTGAGGTTGACTGGATCCCATTGTGGTTTCTTATAGGTGACAAGGAAGGATCCTATTAAAAAAGAAGAGAGACAGTTGTCATTTAGAATAGGCTCTACTTGCTACGAAATTAATCTTTTTTCATTAAATAGGGATGATCCAAATTGTATGAGTCCCTTATCTCAAATTTAAATAAGTTCTTTAAAATTTGTGCGTTCATAGACATACAAAATGCTATTTTGCATGTCCATAGGGTTCTTCAATATTTAATGAAAACATAACATCTCTATTTTAAAACATATGAAAAAACTTTTCATTTATCTACTATTTAAATTTTAGATCTCTATGTGTCCTCCTAATAGCTATTATGAATACAAATAAGAGAGAGCAAACACCAACATTGTATAAAAATAGGGGAAACAATAGAGGCTTCCTCTTCTGGCTCATCTTATTCACAAAAGACTTTATCCATCTTGTAATACAAAAGGGAATACCTGATGATATCCAATAGCACCATCCACACAAATGAAATTTACTGCTGTAAGTACAAGATTTGGGAGAATTTTTTTAAAGGACAAGCTAATTAAGAAAAATGTTTAGATATATAAGCTTCCTTGGATGCTGGGTGTCCTGTGCAACCCTCCTAATTTGTGGTCGAGCAACCCCCTTTTTAAACTCCGTAACTTCTATCTCACAGGGTTGTTGTATGAGGATCCAATGAGAAAGTGGTTGCTAAAGCACTTTAGAAATTATAAAATTCTGTACAAATGTGGTGTGTCACCGTCATTAATGTCATTATGTTCCCTGGTATGAGCTTTCACCCTCCTTACAGGGAAAGGTTAAAAACAAAAAGAAGGCCTTGTCCTTTGTCTGTGGCAAATTAGTTTTACCCCGCTCCTTTTCTTTTTCTACCAGGGTTCATGTAACTACAGTGAAGTAGCTTTCCACAGCTTTTCTCTAACAGATGCGCACCTGCTTTAGAGGCTGATAACAAACAGACTATTTATGTGCAGGGGCTCCATCTGTACTGCCCATATTCTAGGCAGTGTGAGCCAGTCTTGTGCTTGCCCATCCTTTGAAAGCTCCTATGGGAATTTTAAAGTAAATTTTTCATTGCTCCATAACCATAAAACTTATGCCTTCTCAGCTGTCTGCTCAGGTTTCTGGCATATTGTGCAGTGTAGAGAGGATATTTTTGTGTTTTTCCTAAGTTGGGCTTTCTGAATAAATTTTGCCAAAATCTTGGGTTCCTGTGCTAAGACCCAGTCTTGGGAAATTAACTTACAACTCTAGTTAATGAGATAACTACAGATAATGAGAGAACTCCAGAGACATTTACCTAACTCCAGAAGTATGAAGACATGAATGGGTTTTAAAAATGGAGGCAATGGTCTTATCTTTTCCATAAAGAGATTTATTTTCAATTATTCTCCAAGGAAACTTTTTCAGAAAGTGGGAAGTAGGAAGAGGAGGAATACTCTCTCTGGCCTTTCTAAGAAGAGAAAATACATTTTTATTTGTTCCTTGACTATGTAACAGATTTTGTATGCATAGGATATTTGATCTGGCCCTCACAGTGTAACCCTACGGGTAAGAATTGGGTGTGGGGAACCACACGGTTTTATCTGCTTTTTAGATGATTAATGAGAACCTGTCCCTCATCTAGAACACTTAGTGTGTGCATTCAGGATAATACTAATAACATGAATATTTAAAATCCAACACAAGCTCAGTACAAACTTCTAGTGTCAATGGTCTTCTGCTTCTATAAAACTCAACTGCATGAGTCTTGGGTGGCTGCTGGCCCTATGCCTATCTCTGTCTCTCCTTCCCACTCTGTTCTCTGTAGCCACACAAATCTATATACCTGAAAGGACCTATATAAATCATAATACATAATAAAGTATTGTGTTACTCTGCAACCAACAACAATACTACCAAGCTTAGGAATATGAAGGGTCATTGGAGATAAAATAACCAAAAGGACATAAGAATAAGAGTTCAGAAGAAAAAGAGCCCAGTAAAGTGGCTGAAGCTAAAGTATAGTCATATAAGGTCTGGGGTCATGGCCTGGGCCACACTCAGGCTTGTGAGTTTGGTTTCAAGAGGCTTGTAGCCAGTGGTGTGTTTGCTAGTGAATGTTTAACAGCTGACTTTAGCAGGTTTGATTTGTCATTTGGCTGATTCCCTAGGTGTAGATACTTCCTTAATGGCTAATTTCAAGCTATCAATATGATGTTGACCTGTTCGCAAAACTTCTGAAAAATTTAACACTTGGCTCTCGCGAGCCAGTATGAACCATTTCCAGCTCACCACTAACTGTAGCTCTTGGTAGTCTTGACACACTAGGAATAGAATAAACCTAAGTACTGTGGCTTTGGTTTAACTCACAAAGGATGTGAGAGGAAGGGTCTCTGTGGTAGAGAAATTCTGCCTCACTGAGAGGTAAAACAGTGAGTTGTAAGAACAAATACTTTGAAATCAGACAGACGTATTAGCTGTACACCCATCATATATTATTTGTATAACATTGAGCATATTTAACTTTTTTATTAAGGTAAGATTCATATAATATTAAACTTACCATTTTATCTATTTTAAAATGTACAATTTAGTGGTTTTTAGTACATTTACAATGTTGTATAACAATTACCATTATTTAATTCTAGAACATTTTCATTATCCCCAAAAGAAACCCCATGTTCACTAAGCAGTCACTCCCCATTTCATCCTCCCCCAATCACCTGCCAAATACTAATCTACTTTCTGTGTGTAAGGATTTGCCTATTCTGGACTTTTGACATAAATGGAATTATACAGTATGCGGCCTTTTGTGTCTGGTTTCTTTCACTTAGCATACGTTTTCAAAATTCACCATGTCGTATTATGTATCAAAACTTTATTCGCTTTTATGGTTGAATAACAAAACATTATTTGGATATAACGCATTTGGATATAACTGATAAATCATTAGTTGATACACATTTTATGCAAGTTATTTACACTTTTTTGGGGAGGGCTATTATAAATAATGCTACCATAAACATTCATTTACAAGTTTTGTGTGAACATCTGTTGTCAGTTATCTTTGTTATATACCTAGAAGTAGGTTTGCTGAGTCATATGATAATTCTAAATTTAAATTTTTGAGGAACCTCCAACTGTTTTCCACAGAGGCTACACCGTTTTATATTCCCACTAACGATGTATCAAAATTCTAATTTCTCTACATCCCCACTAACACCATTATTTTAAATTTTTAAAAAATTATAGCCATTTCAGTGAATATGAAATACAACAATAAAAGGGATTGAAAAATTATTTTCCCTCACTCTGTTCTTACCCAAGTTCAAGCTAAGCTTCAGATTCCAGAGGGAATAACGTTGTGAGAAGGTCCAGAAGGAAAAGAACATAGTTCATTTGAAAAGCCAAAAGAAGTACAGGGTGGTTGTAACATAAAAAGCATGTGAGGGGAAGAGCTAGAAAAAAGGAAAGCATGGAATCAGTGGACACCAAGCAATAAGTGGTTAGCACCAATCATTCCATAAAAGCTTTTGAAGATGTGTTAGAATATTTGGAGTTTATTCTAAACAAAATGGATAACTGTTAAATGATTTTAAGTAGAAGATTGACATTATCTAGGTTGGAGTTTAGTAAGAGCACTCTAGTTTCTAATTAAAAAAAAAAAATGTATGGAAAAGAAAAAAGTTTAAAGGCAGCAAATTACTAAATGAGCCTACAAAAAAAAATCCAGGACAAAGAGAGAGTAGTGATCATGTTTTAATGTGAAACATGTGAGTAAATTTAAAGACTATTCAGAAGAAATAATTGATAGTAAATTAATTTTTAGATGATTAAAGAAAATAAATAAGATAAAAAGAACAGGCTTTGACATGGGAATTGCTTGAATTCCATCTCATTTAATAAGATAGAGTATTCAAGATCATGAGGAAAAAAAAGAGAAGACAATTATATTTTTGAACATGTCGATTTTGAAGTTTCAGTGAGATATACAAGAAGAGATATCAAAAAGAGAGTTGGTTATGTAGGACAGAGAAAAAAATGGAGTAAGGCTTAAGACTTCAATAACTACCAGCTTATAGATGGTTAATGAATTTATGAGTTTATTGAGTGCTAAACAAATTTAACCCCACAATAAACTTATGAATTAAGTACTATGTTTTTTATTCTAAAAAGATGAAATTGAAACATGATAAAAGGACCAAATGAAGAGTAAAACTTTTTTGCATTTATGGTAGAAAATTATATATACTTCCATCTGATGCTTATCGTTTTCTTGAGATTTTAAAAAACCTTATCTCCACCCCTCCTCAATTCTACAAATAATTTTCTCCAATAGAATTGAGGTCTTGAGGTTCATAAGAATTGAATCCATTACTGGAGGGCTTCCTGCTGCTGATTTGCATAAGAAATTCCATTAAATCAATATGATTACTTGACTGGCCACGATCTTTTTCTCTATGTTCTCATCCCCAGGTTATTGCATCCCTTTAGAAAGGAATAGAAGGATGACCTTGTCCCTAATCTGCTTTGTCTTTACACCATAAATAATGGGATTGAGTGCAGGAGGGATTGCCACATAGAGGTTGGCAAACACGATGTGAAAGGTATGAGGGATATTGTGGCCAAAGCGATGCGTGAGGGCGGAGAACATGGCTGGAGTATAGAATATGAGAATGACACTAATATGAGAACCACAGGTGCTGAGGGCTTTCTGGCGGGCATCTATGGATGGAAGGTGGAAAACAGCACGAAGAATGAGAGTGTAGGAAATACCAATGAGGATTAGATCTGAGATAATAGTCATTAGAGGCACAGCAAAGCCATACCAGATATTGATGGAGATGTCGGCACAGGCAAGTCGGGCGACTCCTATATGCTCACAGTATGTGTGGGGGATGAGATGTGTCCTGCAGAAGGGCAAACGCTTCACTAGGAAAACAACAGGCAAAATGACACTAAAGCTACGACCAACAAGGCCCACCATGATCTTGACAATTGTTCTAGGTGTCAAGACACTGGTATATCTCAAAGGGGAGCAAATGGCCATGTAACGATCAAATGCCATGCCCAATAAGATGGCTGAATCCACAAAAAAACTGAAGTGGAGAAAGAACAATTGGGTGAGGCATCCAGGAAATGTGATTTCATGAGCTTTCAACCAGAATATGCCAAGTGTTTTGGGGACACACGTGGTGCATAATATGAGGTCTGTAGAGGTCAACATTGAGAGAAAGAAGAACATGGGCTTGTGGAGGCTGCGGTCCATAACGATGAGGTACAGAAGGATGCTATTACCTGCAAGAGCCACAAGGTAGATGGTACAGAAAGGAATTCCAATCCAGATGTAGAACTGCTCCAGCCCTGGGATCCCCGCCAAAATGAAGTAGTCTGGATTGAAATTTGTCAAATTCAATGTAACCATCATCTTGATTATCATTCCCTGAGAACAAAATGTCACATTTGATTCTTGGGACTACTATCCATGAATTCTCTTTAAATCTTTTCTATGACTAGGATCCCTCCCTTTCTATCACCTAACAAACACTAGAAAAAATACAAACTGCCTCTTGTCATAATCTCTATGGCATTTAACGAAAGCTGTCAAGAGACTGCAATTAAACCAATTATTCCCCATCTATAGACATTACCATTTTTCTCTTGAAAATATGAAATTATCAAGACATCCACAATCTTGTTTAAAAGGGTATAATTGCATCCATTATGCCTACAGAATATATTTTATTTCCTGTTTGGCAGTCAATACTTTACCTATAGAAAGTGGTTCTACATATGTGAATATGTCTCACAGTCTTCTCTAAAAGGTAGCCATATAAGTTGCCCTATATTTCTCCATCATTCCTACACCTCATTGCTTGTATTGTTGCCTTTATATAAATGCAATCTTGTCTTTTCTCAATATGTCTAAATTCCACTCATTGCTTCTGATCCTTACAAGTGCTAATGTCTCCAGGAAACCTCCACTATTGCTGAATCATGCAGTCTACTCCCCAGCTTGTACAATCATAGTTCTTAATTGTTTTACCAGACAAACAATAAGATGGTTCTATTGAGCTTTGTGTTATTTTTCTACTAATTTTCTTGGATTCTCTTTCCTAGGTATGTGGCCATCCTTCATTAATGATTGAGAATTCTTCTTAAAGACAATTTTTCTGTTTCCTTGGGTTTCTTCCAAAGTAGAAAAAGGCACAGTTTCACTCAGGATAAGCATTACCACAGTCTCAGTAGTAAAACTGATGTTTCAATTCTGTCAATTTGCTTTGCTTTTTCTGAGTTTCTACTATGTCTCATTTGGACCTCCTCCCCCGCAAAAAAAAAAAAAAAAAAAAAAACTATGTATATGATCCAATATGATCCTGTTTTAAAGCCAACTGATTATCAACCATAAATCTTCTTTGACATATAAATAGCATTTGCACAGGTTTCAGGTATTAGGATGTACATATCTTTGAAGGGCCATTCATTATTCTTCCTACCACAACCTTTCACACTGTCTGATGTTTCCCATTCTGCCTCCCCAAGACTCCTACCACCATCACCATTACAACACTCAGATAATACTCACAGGCACCTAATTTTGATGTTGGTGCTGGGTTAGAAAACCAGTAAAAAGCTGGAAGAGGATAGCTCCAGGATGAGAACAGAAAGATACAGGAGGGAATACAACATAACTGGGGAGGACATATAAAAAGAAAGAAGGGAAGAGTTTCCAGATGAGGTGAGGCATGGGGAGAGAGAAATTTAATTCTAGCCGAGAAAGATAGACACACCTGGATAGCATAACCTTTTATCTCTCATTGGTTTTCTCAGGGAATGGGGAGACTGAAAAGCGAGAGCTCTAAAATGTAGGGGGACTCCAGGGACTCCAGTCCCTAGGCAATACCATTAGTATGTATAAATGTTTACATAAACATTTTCTTGGTCTAGTAATGACATCATATACACACAGGATATGATTCAGGGTTTTGGACAGAAGAGAGAAACCAGAAAATGCTGGGATTCTTCAGGGTATAGCTTGTGTAGATGAGTCATTTATAGACACTCAAAAAATACTTTTTGAAAGAATCAATAAATTAAACTCATTAGGCTCCAGGTTTGCCTTGGAAGAATGGTGTGATGATGACTCTAAATTCTAGATCTCAAAAGATGTTTATGGGAATATTTCAAGAACAGATAGTTGATTGGTTAGGGAGGCTGGTTAGTTCCATATAACATTAATTAAGTGGGGAGGCAAGAGAACTAAAAAGTTAAATCAAGCTATATGCAGAGATTGCAATGTCCTGATCAGCCCTGCAGCCAGACCATGAAGAACCTGCAGAACTAAGGACAATTTCTTCTGGGATTGCTAACAACTCATTTCCCTATACCCTGAAGGGGAAAAAGGAAAAACAAAGTCTTTAATTGGAGCTCTAAACAAAATAAAATTGTTCATTCCCTAAAGCTAAAATCATGAGAAACTATGGATTACAGGCTGGGAACTGCCAGCAGGCCTTTTACTTACGTATTCTTACATATTCATTCTACATACTCTTATCTTTTCTCACTGTATGCCCATATCAAAGGAAAATGGGTAAATAGTCTTTAAACTGTAACTCACAGGAACTAAAGAATGATATATAAACTGAATTCCCCTAACATTCAGGGTCCTTTTTAGTATCTTTCTTTCTCTCAGTTCCTCTCAGTGCCTTTACTCTGTGTCTCTCACTATCCTTATCTCTCTATTATCTCTGTCTTTCTGAGTCTCTCTTAGGCTCTCTCACTCTCTGCCTCTGAGAGGACACTATGCTCTATCTGTGGAATGTTATCCCTTCTCTATTAAACTTTCTTTTTGACTCTAACTTTGGTATGTGTTTGAATACTTTCTTGCACTTTGCCAAGAACCCCCTTGTCTGGCAGTGCAGGGCTTGAGTCTCCCCCCAGTCAGGGGAATTTGCCCATCCTGCATCAATATGGCTGTAGGACAGATATAAGTATCAAGCTTTCAATGCCCTCCAATTTTGATGCATTCAGTTCCCCAGTGCCAATTTCTCCATCAGGTGATTATTTTTCTGGGTTATTATATCATATTCTATTTCACTGAATGGGGCTTTCTAGTCTATACTTTTAACTGCATTGAGATACTTTTTGGACAGAAGAAACTCAATGACTTCTGAGCAAGATGAGTTAAACTTTCAGATAAACCTCTCACTGCATATTTATTGAATGCTTACCATGTGAAGGGAAATGTGTCATTAACATCCAACTGCTTACGGCAAAAATCTAAAAGTTACTTTTGACAAAACTTTCTCTCTCACCATGTTCTCCTTTAATTTTATTCTGTTAATGCATTGCCAAAAAAGAACTAACATAGATTTCAGCATCTTATATAGGCCTTTCATACTTGAACTGTTTTTTATAAAAGTGTTAACAAATATATAATGCAGAGTAAGCTTTATATCTTACAGAAAAAGTTGAAGATACACTGTAATTTTGTGGTGTGAACTGTTCTTTTCATTTTACTAAATTAGACATAAATATCAAGTCCAGAATATCTCAAAGGAAAATAGACCAGAGTTTTAATGATAGTTGTATGCTGACTAGCCTGGTATATCAATTGTGGCAGATAAAAATGGGTAAAATAAACTTCTGCTTCTCTAAAATTCTATTCTCTTGACTCTGGCTGTGTGAGTGAATTCTTGCAGATTTCTGAGCTCCTTACATGAAACTGATTTTCTCTCATTTCAACAAGTCGGAGTTGGAATTCTATGGCAAAAATTAGATTGAGCACACAATGACACCAATCTCATCCATTCTGACAATATAAAAGAAGAAATTTAACATTTTTAAATAATAACATGTAACATACACAAAAGTCATTTAAAAAAATCAAAGTAGACTAGTAATAGATTGAAAACATTTAAAAACTAAACCGTCATAGCCAAGACGAGCCTAAGGAGACATTGCAAATAAATCTAATGAGGTTTCTTTGGGGGACTCTGGAACAGAAAAAAAAAAGGACATTGAGTAGTGATGATGGTTGAAGAACCTAGAGAATATACTAAAAGCCACTAAAATGTGTACTTCAAAAGGTGACTGTTGTCTCAATTCACAAACAAACAAACAAAATTAAGTAAGGTCTGGCCCAGAAAAGGGAGTCATTCTAATTTTGGAAGAGCCTGAGACAGATTGATACTATTTCCTATCTCCTGAATACTCGTCTCTAATATTTCTGCTCTCCAGTAGTCTGGTTTCCATCTTACCCCTCAATCCAAATTCTCCAAAGTTTACCATCACCATTTATTTCATCTGTTCTGTCCTTTCACATTCATTGTCTCAATTGGCACTCACAATAACTACATGCACACACATGCTTATGCACACAGACGCACACGCACGCATTTTTCAGTCGCAACTGCAATGTGACACTCTGTGAAGCCTCCCTTAAAAATACCAGGCAGAATTATTCTTCTGGCCTCTGTACTTTCACAGCACTTTGTACCCACTTCTATATTGTAATTACTGGTAGCTGCTCATGGTAAGGAGACATGATTCCCTTATCCATTGACTTAAAATGCTGACCTAAAGAACGAATCAATCAAGGTTTGTCAAAATTTTTTCCCTGGGGAGATAAGCTATTTTTATGAAACATAAATAATCATTTTTAGTTCACTATATTACATGATTAGCAGTGGATTCTCTGAAATAAACAAGGACAATTAATACAGGGTAAGATGTTTTGTTTTAAAGAGACTAAGCTGAGATTTGTATCTCTGTATGCAACTGATTTTCAAAAGAACAGAAGTGGTCTTTGATCTTTCTGAACCACTTGTCTTCAAATTCTTTCGAAGATCCAATCATCAAGGCAGTCAGGGCTACAGAGCCAACATGCTTCGCCTCATTGTGAATCTCATCTTTTATTTTTTTCTGGGACAATATTTTCTCCCATAACCTCAGCTATCGAATTGTCTTCTTTGAAGCTGAACCCTTTCATTTTATCTTCAATTGCCTGCTGAGTCCTTAAGTTCCTTTCCAAAGTAAATGATGTTCGCTGATTGGGTGAGCTGAAGCAAAAGCAGGTGTTCCCAGGAACATTCAGCAGAAGTATCTCTCTGTAAAGTCTTCCTTTTTCCTGCCATACAGAACAGCTCCTGAGTGCTGGTCCCCGTCAAGTTCTGCTCATACTGCTAATACACTGTTGGCTGCCTGTGCTGCCCATCACTGACTATATGTATATTTTCCTCAATATAGTGAGTAGTGTAAAGAAAGGAACTCTTTTTAAATGATCTTTATGATTTCAGCACCCAGCATATGCTTGGCACACAGTTGTCACTCAATGTACTTCATTATTTTTTTAGTTTCAGGTATACAGCACAAAGGTTAGGCATTTATATAATTTATAAAGTGATCCTCCCAGTTACTCTACTACTC